CACACACACACACACACACACACACACACACACACACACACACACACAGCATTACACTCAAATTACAAAGACCAAGGTCAAAATTAACAAACATGGAAGGACAAAAACAACACAAAACACATGTTATAAAAACACTTTAAATCAGCCCTCCTTGAAGTTCTGAATAATGGACTTCTCAGGTATCTGATTCAGAAACTTAAATAGAACAGTAATACATTACTAAATTAGAGAAACAAAATGCATCATACATAGAACAAAAGTTCTGGCTGTTTCATTTGAAGGGTGACCCGATCTTGGGTCAAACAGAAAGTCAAGACCCCATGCAGTTACCCCAGTGGAAAGCAATGTGGGGCTTACAGACCCGAGTGACAGGAAGTAACGCTCCCTTCCTCCCACAAAACTTACTATAGTTCCAAGGCCTTCTAGGGAGGCGCCTATAGAAACCGACTGACCCAAGGAAACCCTCTGTACAGAAATCCAGTAGTCTTATTGTAGGAGCTGATGAGGAGACTCTTTCCTGCTATTTTTAACATGTCTCTTATTTTAAAAATTCTATAAGCAGAGATCTGAAATTGAGCTATTATCTAGATTACAATCAAAACCTAGAAAGAGTACAGATGCTAATTTCTACTTAGACACCCTGCTCATCATAAAAAGCAGAAACTGACGCTCTTATGGGCAACTGATTGTCATCTCAGGCAAGTCAGGGGCCCTCTCTGCATACAGTATTTCTAAAAAGGAAGACATATCCTGAAGGCAAATGAAATAATGTGGAGAAATGATAGAAAAACCAATGCTCTCCATTTTAAGACTGATGAGGTTCTCAGGATACCAGAAAATCGCGTGATTGCTTATCAGAGTTTGTGAGTGCGGGCACTGCCAGGGTCACAGACAGTATCCTTACCTTAACGGAAGAGAATACTGTATTTGGAAGAGAATACTAAAGCCCTGCTATTCAGAGTGCGGTCTGAAGATAATCAGCATAGGGATCACTGGGAGCTGGTTGGAAATGTAGGCTCTCAAACCCTGCCCCACATCTAATGAGTCAGGATCTGCATTTTAACAAGATCTCCAGGTGACTCACAAGCACATCAAAGCTTGAGAAATATTGTACTGAAAACTCTGCCAGTGCTCTGGCAAAAGAGGCCACTGAAATTCCAGGAGATCTCAGCTCTCCTGAGATGCATGTGCACAATGAGTTCTGAGTCAGTACTGGTCCTGGTATCACGAAAGGCCAAGGCTGACTTCTGGTCAACCACAGGTTGAACAATTGAGAGGTAAACATTTTTTATTACAAGTGTCAGTACCAACCAGGTAAGCCTCACTTAGCTCCCTCTTCGTCAGTGGGATTAAAAATAAGAGAAAACATTATAAAGCTAGCCATGTTAAGAAATGCTGTATTAATCTGCCTGGATAATGCCAAAACCCGTAGCCTGGTTGTGAGTCAATGCGTGAGTGAGCCACGGTCACCACCATTTTCCTAATTATAATCATTAAAACTTGGGCAAGGATATTGATTTATTGATTGGCAAAAACTTGATTTTTTTTTTAAAGATCTCATTTCAACTTTCATTTTCAGAAAAGATGATTTTCTTAGAAGAAAAGAATATGTCTTTAAGAATGCAGTAGTCTAATGAGAAAACAAATGCTGGAGAGAAAAAAATAACCTGAATTTTTACGACGGCTTTCACCATGTTAGCTTCTGATTGGGAACAACAAGTTTTGTAAGGATACAATACTAAGGAGTAGAACTAAAACAGTGGATACATTATTTCTTGCTTCACTCATACTAGCATGTCCTGCTTCCTTAATTATTTAATGTCCTAGATAAAGTATGGGGGAGCTTCCAAACAGGGGAAGCTATTCCCCAGGAGCAAAGACACTGAGAATAATATTTAAGGAGCAAGAAACTCTGCCTTTAAATATCTTGTGCGGGCAACTGAGATTCTGTTTTAATTTTCTGAATAATGATATTCTCCACATTGGTTTACATTTTTCTGAGATCTGTATCATCAAACTCCATTTCCCCAGACACGACTGGACACAAAGCACAAGAGAGGAGTTGACCATGATGACGAGTGTGACACACAGTGAGGAAGACATGATACAGACTACTGGTTTTGCCACTCAGAGATGCAGTGCTTCTAAAAGCGCTATTCCACCAAACAGCTTAGAGGAATTTTCTTTGTGTTTGAGCACAAGTCTTTCACTGCTCAGCCCTGTCCAATTTTGAACATAAATAGGCGTAAGAGAGGCCTGAGGAAGTTTTAATTGTGGTACCAAGTTATAAATGTAAATGAATCGTGAACTCCGCCCTCCCCGTTACCTGATATAACAGCTATTTTCCCAGATCCATGTTCTTCTCTAGCTATTCTTTCTGCTTCCTCCATCAGCAGCATGCCAAATCCCTGTAAGGAGCAATGGAGAGGGTTAGAGGAGTAAGAAGAAGTCATTAAGAGGGTCTGTAAAATAAGAAGGTTAATATTTAGTAGTTGTTAAAATCTGTTAAAATCACAGTGACAAAAAACCATTTATGGGAGTAAGGAAAGAGAAACCATAAAATTATACCAAAAGTACACTAGAGCAGACTCGTAGGGGGAAAAAAAAAAAAAAAGGAATAACTTTGCAACAAAAGCCAAAAGATATTTTGTGGATGATATAATCTACTCACAGCAAGGGAGTAATTAATTGCCTCTCAACTTCTCTGTTTAAACAAGTTCTAGGCACTCTCCAGGTGATGAAGTCTGGGGCATCTAATCTTGTATGGATTAGTTGCCCCTCCAATTTCTAAAAGGCTCTGAAACCAGGCAATATTCTTAATTCACCAATTTTGGGGTCTACGCGCTACCCACCACCATTAGTGGCTTTAATCCATTTTCCTAAAATTTAAAAAAGTGAGTTATTTACTTAGATTGTTTGAGGGAGGAGTGGAATAGTGTTCCACTATATATCATACAGTTTACATTTATGAAGTACTTTAATATTTCACAAGTGCTTTCATGTTATCTCCTTTGATTCCATAATAGTTAAATCATTCGAAATTGCCGGTATTAAATCATTTCTGACTTTCAAAAATAGCAATTTCATACGGTTCAATCTAATATTAAATTCCATTTGACTGAGTCTCAATTTGTCTCTTCCTCCTCCCAAAAGTGGTAATTTGGAGAGAAGATATCTCTGAACAACTAAAATATTGGTTCGTCTGTTTCTGTACTTCCCTTTCCCCTTTCTTCTTGCTCTGTCTCTTCCTCTACCTTGTCCCTCTCTCCATTCCTTTTCTCATTCCATCCTTTGGGCAATTTCTTAATTATAGTCAAACAGAAATGGAATAGACAGGATCCCAACCTGATGCTGAAATTTAGTAGGATCCCGACTGCTCACAGGGACTACACTTCCGTACACGTGCAGCTCTCGGACTATGGAAACACCTCCAACCAATTCAAAACGGAAGGTTTCCTCCGAACACTTTCGTAATCGCAGGAGGCCAATCAAAATGTCTTGATCTGGGTCTTCGTATGATAAGAATGTTTCCCAGCCACCATTTGCAACATAATCTCTCCTTACCAACTCAACCTGTTGAATAAAAAAAAAAAACACAACAAAAACCAATATTTTTTTATAAATTAGAGAACAAAGTTCATTTTTATAATTATATGAGTATGTATTTATTTAGGCTAATATCCACAATTAGGTATAAAGACTGAATAGTCATGAATTATGTTTCTTTTTACTTGTCTACTCTCAAATATCATCAATTAAATAAGAATTCATGCCTTGTTCATGAACTATTTATTATAAAAGGAAAAGAATTTTGCAGTTTCATAAATATTTGAACTTCATTAACCTTAAGATTCTTACAAAGATCTGGCTCAGTAAATGCCTCCATGCATTTGAATCTTTGATACTCCATGGAGAGGCTCTAAGGTAAAATTACACACCACTACGTCACATATTAGGACTCTTGGGAGCCCTCAGGTCCTAAATGGTTTCATTTTCTAGTCCTTTCGTCCTCCACTAGAAACCTACTTTTTGGGTAAAAAAATGTGTCATGGGTCATTTGTTCCTTGATGGCATCCCACAGGGCTTTTCAAATACTATGCCTAGTTATGAGACGAAAACATTAAAGAACACCCAATCACTGAGGGTGGCTTTGTGGGGAGGCTTTTGCCATTGACATAGGCTTTTGATTTGTCAACTCATTGTTCAAGTTGCCCTTGGTATTTTGCATAAATATAAGCAAAATGTAACCAAATGCACACATACCACAGAAAAGCCAAACCTACATATGTGGGCATGGTCACACCCAGATACATTCTGAAAATGGGCAAACTGTACCCACAGTGAGGCAAACAATTCAGACTAACACTTACCTGCCTTTTCAACTTACTGTTTGCTAAATAACGGGACTGCACAAGAATTTGGCAAAATGATTAACTGTGCTTGGGTCTACTTTTTCCCTCAAAAGGTCCCAAATATGAAAAATATCAATTAAACAATTTGTTTTGAGAACAGAAATATTATGCAGATCTCATCTATCCTAGTCTTTCTCAGAGGGGGTTCCACAAGAGCTAAATCCCACAGAAAATTCTGCACATAGCTAGACAGTACAGACACACAGGAGGGAAATTAATTCATTATGAACAATGAATGCCTTTGGGCATTAGGCTTAAGTTTTGTGAAATCCCTGTCTGTTGACAGGGGCCAATCTATTATTCATTTTATTACCACCAAAGGGGAATAATTGAACAGTTACGCACAGAGATAAGCAGGTCACGCCCAGTTCTACTTGAAGGTAGCCATTTTCGTTTGAATTAAAATTAAATAAAATTAAAAACTCAGTTCCTCAGTTGCACTAGTCACCTTCCAAGTGCTTAACAGTCACATGAGACTGGTGACTGATACCATATTGGATGGCACTGATTATAGAACATTTCCAATGCTGCAGGAAGTTCTGAACAATACTGATCTATAATAGAATGAAGTTCAGACTTGCTTTTCCTAAGCTAGCTATTCTAGAATTCAGCCACCCTCATATTGGGTTTTCCTGGCTTGACATCTGTGTCTGATCCCACAATTACTCTTTACACTTAGTTTACTCATTACTTTCTAGGGTTCAGTCCCATTGGTAAGTTGTGGGTCCAAGCTTGACAAAAAAAAATTTATGAACAGGATCCAATCTCTGTATAAAGTGAACAAACTAACCTGGTATGGTCGTACTTTGTGATGAATTTCTTGAATCCCAACCTCTCTGGTTCTCACATCTCGACACTGCCAAAAAAAGAGGTGAGGGAGGGGAGCAATTTAAAACTGGTAACTATTTCAATTTTTATTGAAACCTCTCCATCAAGCCCTGTGCTCAAAATTAAGTTTGGACATACTTTACATTGAGGTAAAAGAGCTGCATTTAAAAATGAAGTCATCTTGGGCCGGCCGAGTGGCACATTGGTTGTGTTGGCTTGGGATGCCAGCTCTGAGCACCAGGGCCCCGGTTCAGATCCCACATGAGGGCCAGTGACACTGCGCCCTCTACAGTTAAGATGGTGAACAACAGCTCAACCTGGAGCTGGGCTGTCATGAGCCACCGGTGACAGCATAGGCTGCAGTGAAGCTGCAGTGGGCTGTCATAAGCTACCGTGAGTGGCTGGCAGCCGGCGTGAACTGCCAAGAGCCGCCGTGAGTGGCCATCCAGTGGCCGGCAACCAATCTGCCTCACCTGGGAAGAGCACAATGATACCAACATGGGCCAGTGAAGCGATGTCCTCCACAACTAGACTGAAGAACAAAAGGACAGCAACTTGTCTGTTCACCTTCCCTGATTCCCCAACGCTGTTCCCTTCCCCCAATTCCCCAATAAAACCTTAAAAAAAAAAAATGAAGTCATCTTTAATAAATCTGATGGGGGAAATAGAATGGAAATGCATAAAGTCAGCAGTACAGTATTGCTTTTAAAACAAGTTTAGAATTCAAAGGAGGTCAATATATGATATTAGAAGTAAAGAACATACATCCTGAAATCTGATAATAGTTTTACCCAGGGGACATAACTGTGTCTGAAAGTGCAATCCAAAACTATGTACAAAGAAGCATAAAAAGCAAATTCTTAACTTTTAAAAACCTTCGTTTTTATAGCACTTAATATTTTCAGCATCACTATATTTGTTTCATTTTAGAAATGTCAAAAGAGGGCTGCAGAAGATTGCTGTGTTTTGCAGAGAAGGGCACTGTGGAAGAAAGAATGGGAGGCAGGAAGGAAGGAAAGGAAAAAGAAAGGAAAAAAAGACCTAGATCCCTTTATTACACAATCTGGACCATAGTCACCAATGGCTTTCTGAGTGTCCATGGGAGCCACAGAGCTAACTGCAGATGGTATGGACGCAATGCCTGGTCTGCATGGCCGCATGTGTGATACGTGATGCAACTCTCACTCCTATTCCACAACCCAGCGAGCATGCGACATAGCTGACGTTTATAATTACAAAATCTTCACAGTGTTCCATTATACGTCCTATAGTATATCTTCCTATATCCTATAGAACTGTAAAATTTATTTTCAGGATTCTAACATTTTCCACCAGTGAGAAAAGATCACCCTAGGAAATCTGATGATGTCATGTAAGCTATACTACCAATAGTGTATTTATGAAGGACTGCGATATATGTATAAAATTCCATGAGAAGAATAAGAGCTCATTATTTCCATGCTCCAGGAATTAGTCCACGATAACAATGCTTCGCTGATGAGGATTCCATGAACTCAAACAAAACCTGCACCGGGAACGAGGATCACAAGCCTCTGTAAGGATACGTCTATTACATTGACACGCTGACTTTTAACTAGCAGTTCTATACAGTAGCTCGCACGTGAATGCACTACAGTTACATGCTCTTAAAGAACGCTCACAGGCTTTTCTTTTTGGGGGGCTGGGAGATGCTTTTTGAAAGGCAGATATTGGTGTGTGCTTATTTTCTGGTAAAGACACTGCCTGTGTGAACTAGATGTCCGCTGGCTGTGCCTGAATTCCAGTCTTTAGACGCAATCCCAGTTTACTGAGAGGGTATCGAGGTTTCTGAGGGGTACAGGGTTCGAGACAATCGCTGGATGAGGAGGTTCCTGGGAGAACCAGGCCAGGTCAGTCACTTTGGCGGTGGTATTCTCAGAGGAGAGAGGAGCTGGAGATAGATCAAGATGGAGATGGAGGCTAAGAAGAAGGTAGGTATACAATCGTGTTTGGTGCTGTTAATTACTATAAATACATTAGCTGGTTTTCTAGAATTTAAAGTTGTTTAATTTTTTTTTGGGGGGGGGCAGTAGAATAAACCAATGATGTTCAAAAAGTCTCCTTTTGACAACCAATTTTCTGAAAAGTTTTCTCTATAATAATTTGGCCAAGAGAATAAAATGTCTGGGGTAAGTCCACAAACACAATATACAGTCCTCGACACAATGTCTTTCGAAGTGTTGTCCATGTTTGTATTGTGTGAGAACATCCCCCGACTCCATCTCAGACCTAGTCAATCAGAATCTCTGAAGGCAGAGTCCAGCAATCAATGCCCAGGCCTAGACACAACTCCTGGCCCTTTCTCTTTAGCAGTTCTAAGAAGCAGTTTCTAGGGCCCTGAGTTTCAAACCTTAGAGAGAGATTTAAGAATCCTCTACTGAGATTTAAATTGCAGATTCCTGGGCACTTTGTACTTCCAGGGCCAGCAGAAAGGAAGTATTTGTGAGACGAATAAGTGACTGAATAGACGTGGGGTGGAGTGAGGTCAGGGAGACTGGTGTATGTGGCAAGAGCCTTGTTTGGTAATTATTTCACATGTGTAATCCTTGTTTCTTTGTATTCTTCTATAACCATTAGTCAAGAATACTTCAGGGGGCCGGACGAGTGGCTCAGCTGGTTAAGAGCTCGCTCAAGAGTGTGAGCTCTGAGGAACAGTGGGTTCGATTCCTGGCCCGAGCTGAGCTGCAACTGAGCTACCAACAGGTGGCAAGATGGCTCAGCTAAAAAAAAAAAAAAAACTTCAAAAGAAAAAAGTATTTTTGAAAAAGGGAGTTGAGGGCCGGCCGAGTGGCTCAGTTGGGTAAGAGCTCACTCAAGAGTTTGAGTTCTGAGCAACAGTGTTGCCGGTTCAATTCACGGCCTGAGCTGAGTTGCCGTTGAGCTGCCAACAGATGGCACGATGGCTCAGCTACAAAAAAAGAAAAAGAAAAAAAGGGAGTTGAGCACATAGTCGGCAACCTGACTAGATAGAAAAGGCAACCATTACATCAACAAACCTACACTCTTTTAGAAGAAGGTGGAAGGGATGGGATGGATGAGATGCAGCCTCTGCAACCACCGGCTTCAACTTCAACACGTGATACAGTAAGAATGTATTCAATATAAGAAAGATTTTTTACCAAACTTGTAAGTCTGTAAGTTTTTTTGTGTGTTTCAGATTACTTTGATCTTAACAGTTAACAGTCAGATGCTTACCTGTATTCCAAGGTCTTTCATTCTTGCAAATGCCAGCTCTCTCAGATTACCATGCTCTACTCCTGAGCTGACTAAGGGCATTGGAATATCTCTGCAGGAGAAAAAGATCAGCTGTTTCAAAACATAAATCATCCTCTACAGCAGTAGGGTAGGGATATTAAAAAAAGGAAAAAACAATAAAAAGCAAAAACCCTACAATGCAGAACAGAAAAGCAGAGATGGAATACTCTAATCTGGAAGCAAGGTCCAGAGTTTCTCTATCCCTCAGTTTTTCCATCTATGGAATTATGATTTTCACTGACCACTCAGGGTTTTTGGGAGAAATACCTGATGAAAATCACTTTACAAGATTATAAAGCGCCAAACCAATGTCCAGTAACCATTAGTAATGATTTTTGGCTGAAGAGGCATTTGCACTAAGCAAAACAAGAATTTTTCTTTTTTTTCCCCCACAAAATCCATTTTTTTTACAGCTGCTGAATGACAAGTAACCAAAAGCTTGGCTTCGCCAACAACTAGTAACAAAGAATAAATTTTTTTCCCTGTTTCCCAAAAGTCTAAATTAGAACTGACTCTGCATTAGAATAACAGCTTGCCTAAAGATGAGGGGAGATAAAAAGGTATGTATTTCCTAGTATCAATATAAAGTGCCAGGCATCCAGGAGACTTCAATCAAAAGTTGAAGTTATGAGTTGTATTTTGGTAGCCATGAACACTCTCTTTTAGACACAAATCAGTATCTAAAGCAGTTTAAAAAAATCTGAAGAATATGCTCAGCACATTTGCTTTCTACTCAAAGACAAGTCCCCAATTTGTTTTGTCTAATATTTGGTTGATCAGAAGAAAGATGAAGACTATATCAATGATATTTTTTCTCATTTTTGTTTTTGAATTACTTAAGTCTTTTCCTTCTCTTTGTACCTATCCTTTCAAATGTTAAGTGTATTCAATTAGCTATTTCATCCATTGATTTTAATAAGATATTTCTCACTTGCTCAAAAGTATCCAAGGCCAATCAATTAGCATTAAAAACTAGACACCATTAGGTTCTGGAAGCCTGTCGTTTCCATAAAGACACTACAAAGCAATGATAAGCCAAAATTCTTTAAGACGACACACCAGGGAATGCAAAGTGAGAACGACATAGCAAAAGTTAAATTCTTCTAAATGCCTTTTACCCTGAAATATTTTATAAATAACTCAAATATATGTATGTACATTCACAACTTAAAGTAACCTTTAAAATATTGCTCCACATATGAAATTAATCTGATACAATCCATGGTAAAATCCATGGCAACCACTGTTAGTACCATTACATGACCAGTACATTCAATTCCTGTTATTCATGGCAGTTATGCTCTATAAAGATGCTATGAACGCTGAAGCACTGACCCTACGGTCAAAATGCAGGGTTAGGCTCCTGCAAGCCTTTTCAACTGATCAATGCATAACCTTGTTTATTTATGTTTCTGTCTAAAGGCACTTTATTTAATATAACTGATTCATTAATATTGCATGTGTGGTCAGCAGCATTAAAATGTATGCCTGAATGAAACTTAGCAAACCAGGTATTTTCTTCATCAGGCACATCACTGACTTCTTGTGCTTAGAAACACTAGGCAGACGGCACCCCAGCACTGTGCTTGAGGGATATTTTAAACAGCAAAATCAACAAAAGCAAAAAAATGTGTTATCAAATAGACTGTGAAAAGGACACTGTTTACATATGAGAGCAGAAACGAGCATACAGCATCACACCAATATCCCAGTCCTCCTCCTCAAGCCTCCAACTACCAGTCTAGCATCCCCCAGGGACTCCTGTTTGTTATCACGTTCCCTACAATATAGGTTGTCAAATGGTGATTATCTATTTCTATCATCTATCTGCACTTACTAGTTAAGCTTGTATCATCAGGAAGAGCTTTCCCTTCTTCCCTATTTATTTATTCGCTTATATAACTCACGGATTCCTATTTTATTCAATGTTGTAATATGAAAGTAACACATTATTTTGTTGCTTAAATTCGATTTGGCCAGTAGCGTGAACTCAGGCTGGTTTCTGGGTCCCTGTGACACGTCTCCATCATTCTTTGAATATTTTCTTACTTTCTGGAAATAAGATGTTCTAAGTTGATCTTGTATGTTTGCTGCCCCAAACCTGGAATTGGCCATTTTTCTAAGCAGCTCTGATTCCTTTTAGTGAAGAGTGGTATTTAGGCACCCAGATCTGGGCATTCGCTGTGCTCATTACTACTGAGGTGTCATTGTCTCTAGACCCTCTCAGTGTACACAGCTAAGAAATGTATGTACACATAAACCATGCCACGTGGGTGCCACGATAAAAGTCAATGGCGACCACTGTTAGTATTGATTACATGACAGATAAATGCATATCTATAACTATTTCTATATATAAATTTAAAAGCCCATGAGTTCATGCTGATAATTATAATCCTAATCCAGTGCCTCAATGTTCTTCTCAGCTTTTCCACCTTTCAATGTTTGTAAATCCCTTTAGACAGTGAGAAACCTGGCTCTCTTATCTTTAGTAAAGTCACTTATTGGCTAAGTCAAATAACTTATTTGTTCAATGTAACCAATCTCGCAACTACTGTAGCTGCCACCTCTGCACCCCCTACCTTTACTCTCCATTTCTTCAGATGCCAGACATACTGCTGTCAATGCCTCCACGGCAATGACTCCACTGGTGGTGGGAAGGGGAGATGGGAAGGTAGGAAAGGAAGGGAAGATGAGCTCTACAAAGGTTTTAATAATGAACCAGTACTTTTAAAAGACTTTAAAAAATGCAATGGAAGTAAACTCTCTAAGGAATAGGTTTTATCATATAGTGTTGCTAAGTATAATTACATGACAGAAAGAATTACCAGCAGGGCCAGCCGATAATGTGTGGGGCCCAATGCAAAGTGAGAAGAGGGGCCTCTTGTTAAAAAATTACCAATCATCTCAAGATGGTGAGAGCAGAGCATCAAGCCAAGTACAAGGCCCTGAGGCTACACACAGGTTGCATGTTCCAGAGGTGGCTCTGGTTACGACAAAAGCACAAGTCTGTGAGGAACTGGTAACACAGGGCTTTATAATGATGCTGAGAGTTCATAAATGCCCTTAAATTTATATCTGTCACTACAAAAATGCAACATGGCTTTAATGGTCTTTGGCAATGACATGCCTAGAATATACCAGATGGGAATTTTTCCTCATTAAGGAATAGAAATGTGGCTATCTCCCCTTTCAGTGATAATGTCTTTTTCACTGAAAATGAAGGAAGCTAATTCTATATATGCTGAACATCTTTTATGTACAAAGTAGTGTACTCAGCAATCAGGAATATCTCAAAAGACACTGTTACAGTCTTCTAGGAGTTCAAAACTCAGGAGAGATTACTGACCATCTGAACTTGCTACATCCTACTAGGTAGGAGTCAAAATTATTTTTAGTTTTCTCAATTTCTTTCAATCTAGTTTCAGTTTCTTGGCTTGAAAGCAGATTACATTTGAGAGCATTCGCTTTTCTACTTCAACAAGTAACATTTCAAGCTTAGAGGTGCTAATATTTGCAATTTGCTCATCAAAAACCTTTCAAAGTATGTCTGGACTTTGTTTTTTAAATTAAATTTATCGAGGTGACAGTGGTTAGTAAAATTACATAGGTTTTTAGGTCTGAAGTTTCTCATGCTTCAGAAGCCTGTTTTGGTTACAAATTGGTATTCCTATTCCAATGTTTTGCAGTGATTTAAATATCACATCAAGGCAGACAACTGTCAGATAGCCTGAGGGCGGTGGCAGCTTAATGTGGCTGTCACGTGTCTGAACAGAATTTTACATTTAATCATTGTCTGCACCCTTCAGGCCTGAAATTCAGAATCATCTATTAGGATGCTGCTTCAAAAAACACCCAGAAAGATGTTATTAACTCAACTGTCATAAAATTAAAAGTGGAACATAATTAAGGCAAAAAAAAGAGGGTAGGGTGGGGGAAATTGCCAATTAAAAATATCAAGTAATCCATTAGTAAAATATAGTATAAAAAAAGGCATGTGTAAAACATTCCATTTTCACTTGAAACATATTCCCTCCTACTTTCCTTCCTCTGTTCTGCCCTTCTGACACCTGCCTAAAAAATAATTCCTAACATCTCCATGTACACATTTTGATTCACTAGTCAACACTAAGTTTATTGCCTGTATATTGGTAGAAGCTGTCATAGGTAGAAATAACCAGGTTTTCTAAAGGCACAGAACACAAAGACACATGTGATTTTCCTTTTGTGATTTAAAACAAAAACAAATGAACTATAATTATTAAAACTGCCTGGATTAAACTCTGGGATGAGGCTTTTCTCCTTTGCCAATAGTTTCTTTCTAGCAAGACATAACCGACTTAGACTAATATCAGCTTTTTACATTCTCAGAATTGCTTTAGAAGCTTCAAGCTGTGGCTAGAGGAAACAATGCAGAGTCAAACCCCGTGGTTCCCTTTTCCCAAATGGGGTTTCTCAGCTACTTAACACTAGTGTTGGAAACACCCAGCTTTCTCTTGCACAGATTCATAGACTGAAACTGTTTTATCAGAACACAGCCACGAAATTGTTATTAAGTGTTAAATGTACCATATGAACATGCACATGGCTTTCTGGTTTCCTAGTCATCTTCTCTGTGCAAGAGAGAGGCGATAATTCAAAAGGCCCCTGAAAGGTAAAGGTAAAACTTAGGAAGGTTTTTGTTTGACTATCTCAGTAAAAAGCACTATCTCCTTTATGATCCAAATTCTATGACTGGCAAATTATATATAAACAGACATCTGATATAAGAAGAGACACAAATAATCGGTTACATAGAAAAAAAGTTAATCCATACTATAACTAGGGAAATGCAAATTAATACCCCCAGGGGGCAGGAAGGGGGGTGGAATGTAATCATCCACATCTATAGAGGTTGTGATAAAACCAGTAACTATTTTTTTTAAGCTGGTGTGATTCTTTTGGAAAACCCTATCAATAGCTGTAGCAAAAACTAAAACATTCATTTATATTTCCCTTGTTCCAGTAATAATAATAATAATAATAATAAGAAGAAGAATAAAAGATGCTTAGATCTTTTATCATGAATAATTCTTCTAGAATATTATACTGCTCTAACATATTACTTCAATTTAAGTAAAAGTTCTCTATACATGAATTTTAGCTGTAGTGGAGGTCAGGGTAATGATTAAAAATTTAAAAAAGTAAAGAAACCTGAAAGAAACCTAAATGTCCAATATTAGAGACCAGTTTACTGAATAAGACAAATGAAAATGCTAGACTACTATGCTGCCATTTAAATTATAACTATGAAGATTATTTTAACTCTTTAACAAGAAATGGAACAAAAAATGCAAACAGCATATTTGCCAGTGTATAAAATGTACTGCTGTGTAAAGATGCATCCCGATTATACAAGGAAATTTTTGGAAAAATAATGTAAGCCTATTTTTAGTACATATATTGAAAGTGATTTTAAAGTAGCTTTATAGAGAAAATATTATTTTGTTCATAAATATAGTACCAAATAGCTGGAAATTAAGAAGATAATAGAAGTTGTGGGTAATTAGTAACATTCTACAAACTCTGTTGGGAAAAAGTATAAAATCACATGATCAAAAAGAAATGTGTTGGGATTAATGAACAATGGTACACAGCAGAAACACATCACACCATACCCCTTAGCATGCAAAATCCTACTTTAGAATTTAAATGACTACTGTTAACAAAAAGCAAGACAACATAAATTTGAATCATTTTATGCAGTATACACAAAGAAAATAAAAGTGGGGTAGAACACAAGTGGCAAAATAAAATTAATCTGAATGAATTCCTATGCTGGTAGCCAGTGCAAAACATAAAGTAACATAATAATTTGAAGAAATTCTGACCATGCTTACAGAAAAACAAATGCTGTATTTGTTTATAGCATTAGTCCACAGTAAGCTACAGCAAAAAAACAAAAACAAACAAACAAAACAATTCTAATGGAATCTTGTATAACAATATCATAGCTGTATTAAAAACATAAAAAAATATAAAAATAAAGTGGAAAAGGCTATAAAGATTTTAATCTTATTACTAAAAAACCTAGAAAAGAATCACATTCAAAGTTAAGTAAATTACCAGTCTGCAAGCATGAAAATCTGACATCACAGCTAGACTCCAGATGACCCTCCACCAAAGGCATTTATTCTGTTAGGAACTGAGTCATCACTATCTTCAAATAGCAAACTGTCCTCAGATTCACTGAGGACATTACTAATCCTACATTTTTAAAGAGATTTTACCTCTTGTTTTAAAGTCTGTATTCCATTAGGTTCTATCTCACCCACACATCTGTAATGGAACAGTGTCACTTCAAAGTCTTAAGCCTGCATCCACCTGGACCACTGTCGGGCATAAACCCTCTGAGTGATGTATTTATTGACAGAGAAATATAACTGACAGTTGGCCTCCTGGAATTAGAGCTGGGGGACTCCTCTGCTGGAGAGCGCTTTACGGGGGTCATGATAGGTGAACAGGGAGGTTTCTTTGATCAGCCTCCTGCTGGTTATCCATTATCACGCCTTGCTTATCATACATACCTTTTGGTTACATAATATGCACGTTCTTAATTCTTCCTGTCAGGACCCTTTACAATTTTTCTACAGAGACTGTATTTACTGCTCTTGTTTTCTCCAAGTCCTTATTTTCTCAGTAGGTGGTAGGCCAGGATAATGTCCCATGGTGATATTTCATAAAGTCTATACAATTAAGCTTTTAATGTTATAGCAATGCTTCTGTTGCTTTTGACTCACTGGTTAGAGCAGTAAGAAATGTAAAGCTGAAAATGAAACGGGAGAACGTAAATTCTTTATCTGATTGCCTGTGTGACCTGTGCAGTACTATTTTTGGTAAGAAAACTATGGTGTCTACGGCTGTGAAACTTCTATCTACTCTAAGACATTTGTTGCCATGCTGGGAGGTATTATCTTCACTGTTGTCTGGCTGCCCTTTAGTGTACGTGCCTGACATTAAGTTTTTTTATTGTAGTATTAGTGTTTGACATTAAGTTTTTGATTGGCATCCATTTCAGCAGACTTCTGTCCTGAATAAACACAGCGCAGGCTGAATGACACAGCTACCAGCAAAACCACCAGATAAGGAATTAGGCTGCCCCCACCCATGAAATTCCCTCTTTCAGAAAGCTTTGGGTAACCTAGATAACTGACCATTTGGGTGACTCCATTTTCTCATCCTAATTCCCATTATTATGCTTTAAGTTAGCCAATGAACAGTAAATCCACACAGCCATAAATACCCTACTCTCTCCCCATCATACCTCTCCAGGACCTGTGAATAATAAATCTTGTCCCTCAAAGTTCCCTGATGGTTTCTGCTGAAGTGTGTCCTGCAGTCATAGTAAGAAGCATAAGGGCCAGTCCAGCCAAAACACTGGCCTGTCTGATAAAAGTCTGTGGGGGTTGCTACAAGTAACGGGGGCCAGGTGAGGGCCTCAGGCATTTTTAGCTGACAGCATCACTGTCAATAGGTTGAGACCCACATGACAGTGATATATGTTGCCATGCTCTGCAGCTGGGAAGTAGTATCTTCACTGTTTGCTGGTTGTCAGTTAAACACAAATGATCTTTTTCTTTTGTCTTTGTTAATACTACTTATTGTATCTTTGTTTTCTACTGTATTAATTTAAATTTTTTGAAACAATCTCAAAGTTATAGAAAAAGTCTCAAGGGAGGTATAAACAACTATTTTTCTTAACTATTTGAAATTGGGAACTAGATGTTCTAATACCTTTAGAATACTTTTAGTATTTCCTACAACAATGATATTCTCTTACATAATCGTAATACAACCATCAAAATCAGGAAATTAACACTGATACTTTACTACTGTCTAATCCTAGACTCCATTCTACAATAGCTTCACCAATGTCTCAATAATGTCCTTTGTGAAAAAGGATCCAGTGAGAACCTTGTGTTGTATTTAGTTGTCATGTCTCTTTGGTCTCTTTCAAAATGGAACTCTTTCCTTGATCCTCGTATGTGTGAAGATTAGAGGCCAGTAATTTTTAAGAAAGTTCCTCAATTTCGGTTTATCTGATGTTTCCTCTTGATTAGATCCTGTTTATGGAGTTCTGTTTATGGAGTGACACAGAAGTGATGCTGTGTTTTCAATACACACTATCAGGTGGCACACAACTGTGATTTGCACTATTACTGTATCCAAGGTTTCTCTTTCCACAGTTACCTGTGGTCAACCTTGGTCCAAAACTATTAAATGGAAAAGTCCAGAAGTAGAAAATTCCTAGGTTTTAAATTGTGTGATGAAATCTTGTGTTGTCCTGCTCCATCCTACCCAGGAAGTGAATGGTCCCTTTGGTGTATCCACAATGTATATGCTATGTACTCATCAGTCACTAGTAGGCATCTCAGTTATCAGATCGACTGTCACATTGCACTGCTTGTGTTCAAGTTACTCTTATTTTACTTAATAATGCCACATTCACATAACTTTTATCACAGTGTAGTTATAATTGTTCTATTTTATTATTAGTTATTGTTGTTAATCTCTTACTGTGTCTAATTTATAAACTAAACTTTATCATAGGTATGTATGTATAGGAAAAAACCTAGTATATATATGAGTTCAGTGCTATCCACGGTTTCTGTCACTCGCTGGGGGGCTTGGAATGTACTCCCCGCAGATAAGGGGGGATGACTGTATTTCTAATACTGGAATCCAGGCAGCTTTTGGCAGGGTGGTGAAAATGTGCCTTAATGACCAGCAAATGTGGGAATCGTTTTGTTAGGATTATAGGTAAATAGGTACGTTTATGGCTTTAAAATTTTTTCTTTAATGTTATATTTCTAGCAAAAAAAAAAAAAAGAAAAAAAGGCCCACTATTGCAAATAAGATCTTAGTTTCTCTCTCCCATGACAATAACAGTTCAGATGACTTCCTTCATGCCGTCAGGAATATGTCACTCTTCCCCCATATTTACGTCAATATCTATAAAGAATGACTGTTCCTACTCTTTGTTTGCTCTTTAGAGGCTCTCGAAGAGGGATAACAGACACATGGCGACACTTTCGCAGCCCATACATGACTGTACCTGGATTGAAGTAGACCTAGAAAAGGAAGTCCTGATCTGGAGCATAAGCTCCTGGAGCTAAACAGCATGCCTGGTTGCCACCCTCCCTCCATTTCCTGGCTCACAAGTGAAGGGAGAAAGGGGTCCATGAATAACATGATACTGGCCAAGTGTCTGGACAGGGTGTCCTTTGGTTTCCATCCGTCCTTCACAGGTAGCACTCCAGCTGTCCCAGTTTTAATTAAAAAAATTCAGACCCAGCAATATGAAACCAGACTGTTCTCATCAGAAATTGTATGAAAAGACAGCACACTACCTCTGCACTCGGTACACTCGAGTCCACGGAGGCACAAGGGCAAGGATCCGAGCCACCAATTCGATCAGGTCACTAGGAGAATAACTCTTATATCTTCCTGATTTCCACAGCTCATAAAGCCCAGTTCCACGAATCACCAGGGTCGGGTACAGCTTCAAACCATCAGGACGAAAAGCAGGGTTCTCAAAAAACTCCTGTGAAGATAGAGAACAGGAAATGACTTCCCCAGTATTTATGGAGCGATCACCCTTGGTGAAGTTTCAAAGCTGGGCCAGCCTCTCTCACATACCTACCTGGTCCTTCGACTGCCTTTCCTGTCCACCAATGGAGGGGACGCAGACAGGATGGAAAGCCATTGTTTGTACCGCCTCACTGGAGTGAAGCATGAAGCATGTGTGTGCTGGATTACGAAGCCCTCCTTACTCCAGCCCGTCTAACGCTGCAGTCTCATTTCATGCCACCCTCACCACCTCGCCTTTCTGCCTCTGCAAAGGCATCTTCCTCTGCCTGAAAAAGTTCACCCATTTTTCTTCATCGAGCT